CGGAGCGGAGGGTCGCTGCAGCGTGCGCGGGGGAAAGGAGTTGTTTGGGTGCTTTTGGGGCCCAGCAGGTTATTTTGATGTTAGCAGAAGTCCAGCTCGCTGGCCACGTGCCCACTGGTGTGTCTCCCCCCACCATGGAGACGGGGAGCAGATTGCTCTGGCACCTCTCCGCAGTCCATGTGCTGGGCTGTCAGCCGGGGCTGTGGTAGAGCTTTCAGGCTGTGATGCCCTGGGGAGGGGGGGTTTCATTGCACTAAATGTTATATCTCAGTTCTAACACGGCTTCTGCTTCTCTGCAAGCCACAGTCCAGACCTGTCGTGTTGGAGTGACGTGCTCTGAGGCACTCCGGTTTCCCAGTGCCACTAGCAGAGTCTGTCTTTATTTTTGGTTTATCCTTTCTGTGTGGGCTGCAAGTGAAGGCAGCTTTTGCGCTGCTTGCCCGAGTCTCTCCAGTGGTGGGACTGAAGGTTCCTTCCTATGGAAAAGGTCATGGAAACAGGTTGTAGATGAAAGCGCCGAGGCAGGCTTCTGCGTCACACCGCCTTTGTTGCAGTGTACATGGAGACGTATGGCTGCCAGATGAACGTCAATGACACGGAGATCGCCTGGGCCATCCTGCAGAAGAATGGCTACGGGAGGACAAAGGACCTGGATGAGGTAAGGCACCTTGGCAGCTCTCCTGTAGCGCAGGTCTGCGGGGGCATCGCACCACTGCTGTGCCTGCGAGTCCCGGGTTTTGTCTGGAGCGCAGTCCTGCAGGATGTTGTGATTTTTGCAGTCTTAAGTTCTGTGGAGTAAAGGAAGCTACTTAACAAGCGTGCTAGAAAGCTGTCGGTTGTTTTTTTTCTTTAAACTGCTGGGTTTCCTGTCAGTAGGAGAGCGATTGGACACAGCGGGATGCTCCTGACTCATCTTTGTCTAAGTTTACATCTACCATTTAGCGGAAGACTCTGTCTTCTATTAGTTTCTTGCACCTTTGTTTATTGAAGCCCACTGTGTCCTTGGGCAGATCTTTTTCACTGAGTTAAGTGAGTTTTGTAGGCTGCCTCTTCAGGTTACCTGTGCAGGGCATGAGTACTTATCGTTTGGCTTTTACAAATTCTTCTTCCTTTTTTGTTGTTTTCAATTTAGGCAGATGTGATTCTCCTTGTCACCTGTTCTGTGAGGTAAGGAAACTTTTGTCACTCCTGGTTTCGGACAGTTTTTAAGGAGTTACCATTTGAAAACCAAGGCAATAAATGTGTTGTGCGCAGAAAAGAGCATGCAGATGTGAAACTACCCGTTTAGCTGAGGACAGAGCTAGCTGATGCTACAGTGTATAACATTAATTGTGCTATGAATTGCTTTTCTATATAGTGAGAAGCAGCTCTTTGGTACTGTAAGCTCTGTGTATATGTCATGGGCCGTTAGAGACCTGCACGGATTTGTGCTTTAACGATTTTTAATTTTTTTTTATTCCGCCTTGTCTTGAACTGACTGTCTCTCTAGTATAGAGTCTGTACTTTAAAAATTTGGGAAATACGTTTAGGGGCAATTTGGGATATAAATATATAGGGAACTTTGCTTGGTTTTTCTGAATGCAGAAGATACTAAATGCTCATTGTCACTTGCAAGGTAGCTCATACTGGCTGGCTAAGGCAGACTTTTTCTCCGCAAGAGCTCAGTCCCTGAGTTGTTTCTGCAGTGCAGGTGCTCCCAAGCGAGAGAAACGATAAAGATAGAGGCAAGACATAATCCACACACCACAAACAGCACTTTCATGTGCCATCAGATCCATCAGGTGGATGGTTCCCTGTCTTTAGTTGAATTCTTCTCTCAAAGCACTTGGGCTGCTTCACGTAGGGGGACCGTTAAAGTGCAACAATCGGATTAACCACTGTTTTCCTGGCTTCCCAGGGAGAAGGCAGAGCAGGCTATCTGGAATCGCCTGCGGCACCTCAAGGCACTGAAAGCCCGGCGGCAGCAGGCTCGCTTACCTCTCCGCATCGGGATTCTAGGTACTTGGCGGGATGTGCAGGAGCGGGTTGCAGATACTGTTGTGCCACATCCCATCGTGCTGCGTTTCCTCTTCCCCTCTGGCGGCACCAAGCCTTTTCTGCAGGGTGAAAGCAGCTAGTGAAGGGGTGCGGAGGTGTAACGGAGGGTGGGCGCTTCCTCACAAGGACCCTTCTCCTTTGGCGGCAGGATGCATGGCTGAGAGGCTTAAGGAGGAGATTCTGCACAGGGAGAAGCTAGTCGATATTGTGGCAGGCCCTGATGCGTATCGTGACCTTCCGCGGCTGCTGGCCGTGGCAGAGTCTGGCCAGCAAGCTGCTAATGTCCTGCTGTCGCTAGATGAGACTTACGCAGATATTTTGCCTGTCCAGACTAGTGCAGGTGGCACAACAGCGTTTGTGTAAGTACCTTTTTTTCCTGTGCATGTTTCTGTGGTTCTGGTTTGGAAATATTGCTGTGCAGAACAGACATGTCAGTGACAGCAGCTACCCAAGAGGTGCAGTGCCTGGTTGCACTCGCTCCCGGCAGCCCAGGGGCGTGAGTCTGCCAGACTATGTGTTTGCTGCTTCTTCGCTGTCTGACTGAGCCCTGGAGAGACTGCCCCATGCTCTGGCTGTCTGTGGGCTTCTCTTACTCTCCTTTGAGAACGTTGATTGTCTAAGCCTGATGCTGCACTGAGTGATTTCTGTCACACTGACATTTGTGCCCCTCTCAACCCCTGCCTTCTGCTATGTCCTGCCCCAGGTTCTCCTATTTAATTCTTCTAATCCTCCGTGCATTGTAACTTCTGTTGGGTTTGTTTCCATTTGTTTAGTTTTGATAATAAGATTCCCAAACATGAAATCAGACTCTGCTCAGTGTGGCCATAGAGTACAGCAGGACAGTATCACCCTCTGTAGGAACAGGATGCAGAAGGATCTTTCATCACTGCCAGATTGCAGTGCAAGTCTGTGCCTCATGAGTTGCTTTCCAAGTTTCTTGGAAACGTGCACGAAAAATTAGGAGGTGTTAGCTTGGGGCAAGCAGAAGCCAGCTCTGGCTGTGACGGTGTGTAAGGGGAAGCTGCAGAGCTGTGTTCAGAGCTGGTGCTGTGTGTGCTGCAGGCCAAGGGGGTTGGCTGAAGGCAGCAGTGCTGGGCCAGGTCAAAGCAGGGCAGGATGCAACATGCATGATTCTTCCGGAGCAATCGTAGTACGACCTGTACTTTACCTCTCGGCAGATCTATCATGCGGGGCTGTGACAACATGTGTAGCTATTGCATTGTGCCCTTCACCCGCGGCCGTGAAAGGAGCCGCCCCATCGCGTCCATCCTGCAGGAAGTGAGGATGCTGTCGGATCAGGTGAGGCAGAGCCTGCTTCCCACCTGTCCCAAACCATGGGAGGAAGGGTGGTTCTCAGTGAAACTGTTTTCAGTGATGCCTTTGACCAGTGACACCACCTTTATCTGTGGAGATGAGGTTACCGTAGGGTTCCACCAGTGGCTTTTTGAGTCCCCTGGTAATACTCTGAGACAGACAGGAAAGGGACGGCTTCCCTTGGAGACTCCTCCTTGAAGTAAGAGTAAAACTGTGGCTGCCCTTGCAGCTTAGCCATCTTGACCGGGTTATATTTTTTCCCCTCTGTTTATTTTTGTAGGGAGTGAAAGAAGTGACCCTTTTGGGTCAGAACGTCAACAGCTTTCGAGACATGTCTGAGGTGCAGTTTCAATCAGCTGCTGCCCCAGTCCTCAGTCGTGGCTTTAGCACAGTCTACAAAGCTAAACCAGGAGGCTTGCGCTTTGCACATCTTCTAGACCAGGTTTCTAGAATTGATCCAGAAATGAGGATCCGGTTCACCTCTCCACACCCCAAGGATTTTCCTGATGAGGCAAGTGTAAAATAAACACCTGGACCTCTGCTTGCAGGCAGGCAGGCAGGCAGTTCTGAACTGCTGGCTGTGCTTCCTTCCCAAAGGGAACGCGGAATCACAGAATGGGAACAGCAGCTCCTGGGAGGGGGAATGTTCGTGCTAAAGCTGGCAGGTTTGCAATTTGCTGGCTTTTACCCAGGGAAGACTCTTCCCCTTGGCATCCTGGTAGAGTTGAGCTGTCTATGACGTTGTCTCCTGATTGCCCATCACAGGTCCTGCAGCTTATCCAGGAGCGACACAACATCTGCAAACAGCTTCACCTCCCAGCCCAGAGTGGAAGCACACGAGTCCTGGAAGCCATGCGACGAGGGTGAGTGAGTGCCGTGGGGAGTCTTGTGCCCTACCCTCTGATTTAGGGTGCTGATTTCTCCTCACCAATGTTGTGGTTTTCTGATTAGCAAATCCATCCGTTGTCCATTGCAGATACACAAGAGAAGCGTATTTAGAGCTTGTACACCATGTGCGCGAGTGCATTCCAGGTAGGGGCTCCCTTTAGCTTCGTCTGAGCTCAGCCCAGCTGTATCTTACTGTCCTTTCTTGAGTGAGTGTTTGTCTCTTCCTTGAGGGAAGTGTAAAGCTGCATCTCTGTTACAGGAGTGAGCTTAAGCAGCGATTTCATTGCCGGCTTCTGTGGAGAGAGGGAAGAAGATCACCAGCAGACTGTGTCCTTGCTGCGGGAAGTCCGCTACAACGTAGGGTTCCTGTTTGCCTACAGCATGAGACAGGTGAGTGCAGGACCTGATGGAGAACACTCTTATCTCTGGGTATCTCACCTAATTACTGGGTGCTGTTTCTCACAATGAGACACTAAAAAAAAAAAAAGCTATTGAAAATAATACCTAAAGACTTGGTGTATTGGTAGATTTTTTTGCTTGCGTGCGGCACTTCTAGGGTATCTGGTTCTGCAAGGGCCACCTTTGTGCCTGAAAGGCTTCCAGCTCCCTTGTGTGAGTGTCAGGGTTGACCTGGTTCTGCAGATGCTCCGGAGTCATTGCAATGAAGCAGCCACGTCTGCAGAGACCTGGCTGCACATATATTTTTCTTTGCTGATGTAGCTGGGCTCCAGTCCAGCTACGGAGACTCCATCAGTCAAGTCTGGAGAGAAGTGGTGAATTTTCAGAAGGTATTTCCATGGGAAGAGTGGATAGTTGACAAGTCTCCATTAGAATGCTCTCCAAAGTGTAAGATGCTGACGGGGAAGAGGACAGGAGGTTGGGAAACATAAGGAAGCAAAGGAGTATGGATCACCTTTCAGCTCATGGAACCAGAAGTAGTAGAACCCATTGCCTGTCCTTGTGGACAGACAGGCAACAGGCACATCTCACGTAGGAGCTGCAGAACTGCTTCACACAGCCGCCGATACTCGGCGCCCTACATCAAACCTTCTACCAAAAAGGTGATGCAGAAAGAATGTGAGGAACTCAAG